ATGGCAGCATCTGAAATGGAATCTTATTCCCTTTAGAGTGCAATACTTTGGCCCAGAAAAGTAGTGCACTCTATAGGGAATAGGGAGTTGTCTTTATCCCTCAGTTGCTATCTCAGCAAAATGGATGTTGTCATTATACTGTATGAGAGAAGAATCAAATCAATTCAAATTATTAATTGGATCGTTTGTCTCTAGGCAAAGGTGATCTGATTGGGGCAGATCTGACAGGGCAAGACCAGGTGATCAAGACCAATGCGGACGTGAAGGCTCTGACCTACTGTGACTTGCAGCACATCAGTGTCCGAGCCCTTAGGGAGGTCCTGGGCCTCTACCCAGAGTATGGCAGTCGCTTCAGCTCTGATATCCACCACAACCTCACCTACAACCTGAGAGAGGGCAGCGAGGCAGAGGTGAGAACCACACATGCTCACTCACTCACACTTTACTCTATGTGGCCTGTGTAAACTGTAATGGAATTGTGATTCATTCTGACTCACTTTCCAGGGGCTGACAAGGTTCTCACGGTCCCCTCGGCTCTCTCAGGTAAATGTGTGGCTCTTTATTACTATACCACAGCGGGTAATAACTATGACCTGTCAGTCTGCTACTGACAGATGACTCAGGGATGCTCTTACAGCCACAGCCAACATATCTAAAAAGTCACAGCTTCACATTATCAACAATTCAGAACTCAGAACATTTGCAGTCATAGCCATAATCTTTCAAGCTAAATGCCCAAATGAAACATTTATACCTTGAGATGTGAATAGGCTTTGTGACTCATCATTCCATTTTTCAAAGCATTTGAATATTTTGTTTGGGACAGTGACATTTAAATGATTGAGGTTGATATGAGGGTTCTGGTCCCTGAACTATTGCCCTGCCCTCTCAGGTGAACATATAACTTGATAAAAGGCTGAACGCAATGTTCTAATCTAGCACATTTGCAGACTTCACTCTGAAAGAAGTAAGATTGCAACTCTCACAGCCCCATTTTCCCACCTTTATTGAGAGCTTAACAAATGGCTGTCATTAGTGTGT